AGTATATATTATGTATAGTATACCGCGTGCTTCAATTGCGCTTACCATCGTGAACTGAAAGTGTGAACAAGTCTGTGTGGGTGAGTGGAAGAGTGCTGATTATGAAGTGTTCGTTGATGATGGCGTTTGTATTTAGTATCGCGCATTATATTTAACGCTTATTAGCGCTTGTGTTTTGCCCTTCTCCACTCTTTTATTGGTCAATGACCTTGTGTTAGTGTAAAGTCAAAACGACAAAAATGCGTAAAAGTACGGTTTGCGCGGTATAGATCAGACCTTGGGCCGGTATCAAACGACAAAATTGATCAACGACAGTATCTGATTGGAGATACAAGGTTGTGTTAGTAATTTTGTCACCTTGTGTTTTGATATTTTGTCACTTGCCGTTAAAAAAACCGAAAACGTTTAGCAAAAGACCCTCAGTTGGGTAGTGACAAAAATTGACAAAAAATGGAGTCATATATTTTGTCCCCAACTTTATAATCATACATAGCTCTCTGCATCGGTATATAATTTAAAAGGCTATGTTTATATTTTATACAAAAACCCTAAAAACAATCGGCGGTGCCATCCCCGTCCAAAGGGGACGCGTAGCCATTTTCATAATAATGAAGTAAAATACACTCATCAAATACAATATTCGTTGTACAAAGTAACCAGTTCACGCTTCTAAATACATTGAGGTAAGCAGAGCAGCAGGATGACAGAGATCAGCTCAAGCTAAATCGCTGATGGAAACGACCTTACTGATCTCTATATTCCCACTCGGCTCAACTTCACTATCGCTGGATTCACTAACTTCATCACTAATTACGTACTCTTCAGCACCCTCAGGTTCCGGACGATTACTAACAAATCTACCGCGCATACCACGAGCTGACTGTACATAGCCCAACCTAGATATACTTTGTTCGTCCTACGCTTACGTGTTGTCATCGTATATACCTTATCAATGAGGTCTGACCGCATATAAATGAGCCTATACGAATAAACAATGTTTTCGGCATGTATTTTGATAGTTAGACGCGTGGTTGTGACCCGAAACATTAATTTCAGAATCCAAAATTTTGAAGAAGAAAAAAAGGCAACTAGAAAAATTCCAACCGGCTTCCCGTTTTTAGCTCGACGAGACAAGGCCATAGCCGTTGAGAAAACCCGATTTGGACCAAAACTCGACGACATATATAAATTTGAAAATAGTGCCTCTGAGTTTCCCGGGTCTTACTGCTGTGCGCCATAAGTGTAATAAAACGCGGCTGAGAAGCCGAAGGGACCGAAAGGGTTTAATAATTGGGGTAATTCAGACATTTGGGCCTACTGATTATTTTATATAGGGTCTCAAATGGGCAGAACCTTATTGGGCCTATTGATTATTTTGTCAAGGGTCTCAAATGGGCAAAACCCATTCCAGCCGGAAAAAAAAAGCGTCACGGACCTTTTTCAGTCGGATTTATAAGCTTTAGTTTTCAAGCGTCACGGACGTTTTTTTTGGCGACAGACGAAAAAATCGGTGATAAAGTCGACAGGGACTTAGAAAAGCATACGCTTTCAGTAATAAATATGTATTCACTTTCGTGTGTATGGTGCCTTGTCATTGTCGTACAAAAGTATATTTACGATAATCTGTAGACACGTAAATACTTTCGTGTGACTTCATGTGTAGTTAGTAATAATTTAATTTACGTATGTTTGTGTCTGTCGTTGTGGGTGTATAGTCTAAATATAGGGGGAATGCACCTCCGACTATGCGCGCGTTTTCACACGGACGTATTCGTGTATGTGCTTTCGTGTGCCTTTATTATGCATATGTTCTTGCATCTGTCTAATACAGTGCTTGTCCATGAGTTTTAATACATTCTAAACATACGTGCACGCATTGAGCTGTGAGTGAATAGTGTGAATCTACCGGGATATACTACTATATAGTGCGAATCTGTATTCTGTGGGTACATACGTTGGTAGTTTGAGTATAGGTATGCATACGCAATGTGTGCATAGTGCATGAAGTAATATACGTTTACAATTGGTGAGAGACGAATGGAGAAAGCAATATTGCAGACCACAAAAACCGAGGACGTCTTCGTACATTCATCACTGGGATATAATATCTCCTACAAACTGGTATGGAATGATCTCAATGTTATACTATAGAAGTTGAGTTGAAGAAATAAGTATATAGACATCCACATGTATGCGTACACGTGCGTGCACATTATGTATATATATACATACACACACACACATATATATATATAGTGATATTTTATATATTTATATACATATTCATAATTATATATATATATTCATACATACATACATACATACATACATACATACGCACACACACGTATATATATATATATATATATTTCTATATTTCTATTATTTATATTTGTACGTACATATATATTGTGTGTGTATGTATGTATGTATGTATGTATGCCATTATATATGTATATATCTGCAGCCTATGTAAGTATGTATGTATGTGCGTATGTATGTATGTATGTATGTATATGTCTGCAGCCCCCTGTATATATACCATGAATATTGCGTATCTAATTGTTACCTTTGTCACTTTCAGTCAGGGTGGTTTGAGACGAACTGCAAGGATCATGATGTCGACCCTGACTACCAGAACCAAGGCAAGGGACATGCACATGTCCTGTCTTACCTATCTGAATTTGTTGTATTTACATAGTCTATTTTGAGATGAATACATACCTCGTATACATAATATCATGTGTTTGTAGTTGGTTGGACTTGAGAGCACAAGTTTCTATATATATGTGCTTGTGACCGTATGGTGTTTACATATGGAAAGGCGTGTTTACATATGTATTTGTGGAAAGAGGATTCGTTTGTTTTGTTCACGTATAAATATACAAGCATTCGATTGTACAGTGTGGCTCGATTGAGTTTAGATCAAACTCCTGGTTCCGCGAGAATGCTTTAGTTTGTTTTACTTGTTTATACCGTAACATCGTATATAAATCTTCAGAGAGCGCACGACGAAAGATGATGTGCAATACGTGGTCACAGTGCGTCACATTTATGGATTCATTTGAAATGCCAATACTAATATCGACCGATTCCAAAATAAATTGTTTCTATCAACATAGTTTTATATAATATTCTGAGAGGATATTTTGATTATGTTGTACATTTCAGTCTGTGAGAATTATAAAACATTCCCTTTGTTCACAGTAACGCCGAAAACGTTTGAGTGTACTAAACTACATCCTGTGATTTGAAAGATCAAGTCAATTTTGATACTCATATATATATATATCATTTGTCTTTTGTTTTTGGTTGGCTCTCCATTTGAGCTTCATGGATGTAGACTCGATAATGTGTACTATTGGGACAAGAGTATGCACGTTCATGATTTAAGGGTGGAAATTGCAGTTCTGATATCAAGTGTAAATGCATTGTCGTAATATTTTGTTCTGTGAAAGATGCTGTACAATTTGAAGAAACCATGACAACGACATACATAATAGCGACGAATCACCGAGGATCCAATTGAATGTATGCGCCTACATAGCTGATGTTAAAGGTGCATCTCAAAAGCTGGATATCGTGTTATGATTTCGGTATTCTTACATATGTTACTCGAGACAAGAAGGGATGCTCTTTATAAAAACAGATTCTAAATCCAGGTGGTTTGGTCAAAAAGTGTCCGCTCGGAACAATTAGTTACCTCGATGGCAATTGTCACAGAAAAGTGCATTTTTAATGAATTAGGTATTCATTTGGAAGTTCGTACTCGGGTGTAAGTTTGTTTTCATACGGTATTACGTATTCATATGTAGTCCGTATTCGTGTGGCACCATGTGTAGGTCGATTGGTTTTGTATGAGAGAACTTCGTGCTCCACGATTAATACACGAAGTGCTCGTATTTTTATAATAACCGTACGACTGCACCTGTATGGGGTATGCAAATACAGGTTTACATTTCATCGATTCATTAAAGTATTCATACGACGACAGTACCACACACCATGTATACCTCTAACTTACATGTGAAAGCTTGTCGTGTAACTCCGTCTGACGGGTCGAAGCTTGTCGTGGAACTACGTTTGACTAGTAGGTACATGTCCTACAACTCCGTCTGATTGTTCTATCAGGCGACCACCATTACGGAGTCCGTGTCACTGGTACTAATGAAGAATCTAATGCGCACGACCATCTCAAGTGTGGCCTATTTACGAGGCTTCTTCCCAGACCGGGTAAGTAGGTATATCTGAGTACGAGCATGTTATTCATACGTAATATGCATGTATACACATCAGTATTCAATATATATATATATATATATATATATATATATATGTATATATACTATTATGTGTGTGTGTGTATATGTATATTTTTATACATAAACATATATATATATATATATATATGTATATATTTGTATATAGCAACGTACATATACTCACATACACGTAATGTATATATACATATATATATTCGTGCGCATGTGTATGTGTGTATGTGTATATTCAATAGTCGTGCCTGTACGGAGACTGAGTCGTACTTAGTAGCACTTTACCGCGATAATTTATCGGAGCGTGGTCGACATGCTAGGCTTCTATCTTGATCAGATGTATAGTGACATTATCAGATAGTTATGCTCGTATATATGTATATAAAAATGTGTTTATTGATCAAACACCCACACTAAACGGGTAAGTATTAGTTAATTACACGTTATATTATGATATACACTATCACTGATCGGGTTTATATCAATCACATACTTAATTATACTCACTCTCATTGAAGAAGTGCGTGCTATAATGTATCAATTTTCACGTATACATACTCATTTAACCGGCTTTCACTTATACAAGCCATATTTACATACAACTACTTTCACGGAACAACATATTGTTACCACTACATGGCACTTGAACCACTCCTATCGATACACACACCATGTTTCAACAATAAAATTGATATTTAATGGTCTTGAAAAATCCACCTATTCTTTTAACAAACACGTTCAAATTGAAGTGGTTTATACCAATACAGTTCAAATAGTATTCTGCATTATCTTATTGGATAGGTGCATACCAATGCACATCATACGTTAATCTACACTCTTATTGAATTAGTTTTTAACAATACACACAATATAATACCATGTAAACTTTTATTGAACAGGCATAAACCAAAACACATCATGCTTGATCATATATATGAACAGTTGCATTCCTCAATCAGCACGCTATGATTAAATTGATATATGCCAATATAGACCATGCTTTAATGTACATACATTGAACAGGTGTTCACCGATCGGCACTTGGAAGGGATGAAGCTGAAGCTAATGAAAAAGGGCGTCAATGAGCAGGCAGATCTACTCATGAACTGGCTCGAGCAGGTTTTGTATAGAGGCTATAAATATGTGCACATAGTTGTATATGTGTGCACAGATCTATCCGTGTACGTATAGTCTTATATCAATTAAAAGTTTTCTTGTACACGGCTCAATGTTTTTGCAGCCTACTTGCGCGCTTTTACAGTGCAGACTTTTATTGAATTTTACTGTTAGAAGTGCATATATAGAAACGTTGTCACAGTTGATTAATGGGAATTCATAGGGTTAAGATTAAGATTAATTTCAAAGTCACTTCTAGATGTACATTTTGAATGCATAAGTGGTTAAATATATGCAAAGGCTGAAATAGTTACTATATCATACTCCCAAATTTCATCAACCTATCGGAAGTATACATTGTACTAGA